TAATTGCACTAGTTTGCACTATGGTGATCTGTTACACCCTGAAGATTTATTACCATGGAAATTTGAGCAGGTAATGGCCACTCTGGGTAACGATACAAGTACCAAGAAGTATTTGGAATAGATAGTGTTAATTACTTTAATTGTGTTCTGACTTCAGTATGGCAATGCTAGTAATTGTCTACATGTTCAAAGGCTACAAAATCCTTCATCTTATTCAAAGGATATAGAGCACTCAGTCTGTTTTTAAAACATCTCTGGCAGGAGACTTGAACGAAAAGCTAATTTTAGACTTTGACAGGAGAGGAGGAACATCCCACTTGTGTGAGAGCGTGACCTCAGCATAACCCCACAAGACGAGTCATATTAAGGGTTATTGAAAGACTCTAGAATTGAAAGCATCGGGCAGAAGGATAGACAAAAATAATCTAGCAGAATTGTGACTTCAGGTCCCAGGAAACCAATTTAGCATATCTGTATCAATGTCTGGTTTCACTGGAAGTTAAGAAAAATCAGCTGAGTAAGCTCATCCAAAGCAAACATAAGTGATTCTTAACCTGTGAGCTCAGTGTTCCTTGGCACAGAATTCTGGCACCAGCTTCAAGAGCTCAGTGCAATACATGACAGTCAGGCAGACCAGCTGCATGTTTCCCAAGAACCTTTGGCTCACCGCTCCTATTTACAAGCACAAGGTCAGTGCTAAGTTCTTTCTCTAAACCCACCACTTCCTTTGTAACTCCTCTGAGCAGCAGCGAGAAAAAAAACGCAACACACTTCTGTGAGATCATCAATGGTGCTTTTAACTGGACCAAAATATACTGGACAGACTAATTCCACAAACAGAAAGGCAAAAGAGGGAGGCATGCAACACCAAGCAGTACTGCCTGGGAACACAAAATAGTTGAGATGTGGTCAGCACTGCTTGAGTCACTTTTGCTTTCACAATAAAAAACAGGCAGGACCAATTATCCTGCCCACAGAACCCGGGCAGGAAATGAAGTGCACACTATACTGAGTAAGTTTGTCCTAAGTAAGATCCACAAACTCATGTGCACACACTCCAAGTTTTCCGTGTCTTGAGGCCATGTGGACAACAGTGGACTACTTTAAATGGCAATCTTCTGAGCTAAGTAATTGAAAGCAAGGAAACAGTCACAAATATTCAAAACTACTGAAAATCTGAGTATTTCAGTAACTTCTTAAAATTAAAGATTTGTAAACTCTTAACTCTAACTACTTTTGTTTGCCTTCTATCCCCTTCTGCTGCCAAAGCTTACAGGAGATTACCTCATGCTATTAAAACACAAGTGGCCAGACTAGTTGCACCAGAACTCACCTCCAGCACTCCTCTGACCACCCAGACAAATTCAGGATCACATGACTGTCACTCAGCCATATCTCCTGACACTCCAGTACCTACAAGATGAGTGGTAACCAAGGAAGCATGTGGAAAAACATCACAAGAGATAACATAAGAGAATTCAAGAGTCTTTTACCTTGTAAATACAGAGTGATCTTTCTGATCCAAGACAATAATAATATCCCCTGGCTCCAGACCTGGCTCTTGATCCCCTTCACCATGGAATGTTATTTTCTGACCATCCTTCATTCCTATTGCACAAAGCAATAAATATTTTTCTTATTTTTAAGATAGAAGCACCAACAGTGAACACTTTTATAGGCATGAGCTGGTGTCAAGATATCTCTGGATCTTTAAGCAAGAACATCAGGATCTTCTCTTGAAACATTTGTTTTTATTTTTTCTTTTAATCCACTCACTTGTTCAACAGATCTTAGCGGTGCTAACCTGATTTCAGTCTCAAGACCATCAAGTTTAACTGTACTGCCAAAAGAGCCACCAACAAAAAGTCCTGAAGGGAAATATCATCAAAACAACTTTCATTATACACACAAATACAAGAAAGAAATCAGAAACACTGCATACAAACTCTATTTCAAGAGCAATTGACCAGTCAGCTTCTTCAGTTTCATAAATACATGGCACATCTTATGAAGCATCATCTCAGTGCATGCCAAGTCAAAGAAGCATTCCCCACGGACTGAAAACCTCCTGCAAGGAACTTGTTTCACCCACACAAAAAGTCTATGAAACAAAAATACTGGCTTTCTTATGCTCTATCAGTCTCTTTTGCCTTCCTTCTTCAAAATATCAGTACTTCAAAATATCAGTGATATATCCCTTCTAGTCCTCATTTTTACTACTACTACTGTAGGATTCCCCCTACAAATTCAGGCATTGCATAAGCTGTGCTTACAGATGTAACAGTTGCAGCTCATAATCATGAGTGAGTCTGCAGAAGTCATGTACTTGTCAGCTTGCTCTGTCTTACAAGCTGCACTACTCCAAAGACTTCTCCCACCAGCTTTTGGGCAGCCCCCTCAACAGAGATGCATCTGTCACTCAATATCATTACGTTCACGTTGAGGGTTTGTGTATTGAGCTGCATTTTGCCAGGCAAGAAAGTAGTACCTGCGCTGGGCAGCACTGTCAGGGGTGTGTAGCCAACAGAACTCTAAGCACGAGAGGCTCAGCACTGTCTCTGCCCCCTATCACTATAGCAGACCTGGTTCCCCTTCGCACTGAAACACAGCGGAAGTGATCGGAGTCTGCAGGGTTTTGCTGCAGGCAGTGAAAATTTATTAGGCTACCTGATCACAAACTGGGCTTAGAGGGACCTGAAAAATAATTCACTGTTTAAAATAATGCAGGTTTCAGAATTCATTCTTAGTTATGCATCAGGCCTTAGAAGTGAACACAGAGCTTTCACCTTCCCAAGAAAACAACTCTACTTTTTGTAAGGCAGCAATAAGCAATTTTACTATGTATTCAGCACTGTTACTTACCAAATTAACATCACGTATTTCCTAAAACTGCTGTTTTAGTGCTGCCAAGTCAGTCAGTACATTCAAGTTCAACACTTCACCTCAGTGAGACACCTCACCTTTGTCAATGTGAACTTCCAGGATCTTCTTCTCTCGAACAATTTTTCTGCCATTGCAGCTCTTACACCGGTCCTTGGGGCTGATGCGCTCCCCATGCCCCTGACACTCCATACACACAGACTGGATCTGCTGCACCATTCCTGGCCCAATCTGGTGAATTCTGATCTGCATGCCTGTTCCCCTGCAATTGGGGCAGCATTCTACTGCACCTTTCTTACCACCACGACCTGAGAACAAAAATTGGAGATAGGAGGTTATGTGCTACCGGAAAAAAAACCCAAAAGCTTTACAAACATCTTCACTCTAGCTTCAGTTTCAACATTACCTTCACACTTGTCACAGATAACATTTTTCTGCAGTGCAAGTTTCCTCATTGCACCATTGTACATATCTTCTAAACTTACTGACAACTGGTGGACCACGTTTTTACCTGTAAAAGAACAGATATTTACTCAAGTTTAGAAGCTTGGTCTGCACACCTCCCTGCCAAGCCATGATAAACCAAGTCTCTGGGCTTTAACATCTTGTCTCAATAGAGCTTTGTCTTGTTTTGCTCGTATTAGTCAAAAGCCCCTTCTCAGCTGCTAACATATTAGATAACAGTTGTTATAACTTTGACAAGAGACCTTCTAGAAAAGTACAAACAGTAACAGCAACAGAACATACAGAACCTCAAATGTTTAAGTTCTGTAATGCAGGACCCTGGTTTCAACAAAGTCACCAAACAAATCTCCTACAAACAAGCGAGCAACTCTGTCTGGAATCTCCACTTCAGCACTTTCTTCCTCTCACCACGTCAGCATCTGGAACCAGAAACGACCAACTATATTTTTATCCTCAGGAACTCCTTAGCACTTCAGCTGCTGTAGGCTTAGTTTTCTAAAGGATGCTGAGCTCTAGGTTGTTACAAGTACTTTGACACAGTTAACACTTTGATACAAAACAATTTTTCTTCCCTTTTTCACCAGATCTGTCCTAAGAGGTGATGGGGTCAGCACTGCTCTTAACAAGTTTAAAGCTTCTCCCAGCGTGACTGAACTGGAGCCCAACTTCTGGGCAGCATTTTACTGCAGCTTCAACCTAACACCACGGCACAGTGCAGGAACACAGAGAAGTTTCACAGACTGAACTGGACCTTGATATCTTGTTGAGATAGCTGCTTTTAAATACTACATTTACAGTAGCTTAATTAATAAACCATTTTAAGCTACTTTACCCTTCCATTTCCTACTGTGTCTACTAGCAGCTGGGCTTACACTCAGCTAAAGGTACTGCGAACGCACCTGGTTAGCGATTAACAGGGCACAATGCACAGGAGACCAAACTACCACTGCACCAAACGCCCTCCCTCGGGGTTTCAGGCGATAAGGGACAACAGTCTTCTCCAATTTTCAGATTACGCCCGTAACTTCAGTTTAACTCTCTTTAAACTCCTACATCCACAACATCCTCCTCAGAAAACGCGATACCCCCGCCGACACGTTACCTCGCCTCTCCCCCCTCTGCATCCTCCCTCCGCTGAAGAACAAATCGAATATGTCCATGGGTGACCCGAAGCCGCCGCCGGAGCCGCCCTCCTTGATAGCTTGCTCGCCTCCTTTGTCGTACAGCTCCCTCTTCTTCGGGTCCGACAGCACTTCGTACGCCTGCGAGATCTGCTTGAACTGCGGAGAGGACAGCCACGGCACTCAGGCACCTGCAGCACCCCCACCCCGGCCCCTCCCGTCCCGTCCCGGCCCGGCCCGTCCCGTCCCGGCCCGTCCCGCCGACCTTCTCGCCCTCATTGGGGTTCTTGTCCGGGTGGTACTTCAGCGCGAGCTTGCGGTAGGCCTTCTTCAGCTCCTCGGCCGACGCGTTGGGCTTCACGCCCAGCACATCGTAGTAGGTGGTCTCCTTCACCATGGCGGCAGCAGGCCCCCGGGGCGGCGGGCGCAGATCCCAGTCCGCGCTGCTCCGATCCCGACTCTTCTGGAAAGTTCGGGCCGGTCCCGCAGCCCCGCCGCTTAGCAGCCGGCTCCACCCCGGAAGTCCTGCCCCGCCGCGCGCCGGGCCCGGGAGAGTGACCCACCAATGGCTGTGCGGGAGGGGAAGGCACTTGGCCAATCAGCGCCCGCCTTCGCCGCCCGCACTGAGCGCGGACCCCGCCCCGCCCGGCGCGGGCGGTGGCGTCCCCGCCCAGCCTTTGCTTCCCCTTGCGCCTGCGCGCTGGGCCGCCCCCGCCCTCGGAGGCACCGAGCTGCGCCGGGCACCGGACGTCGGCCCGGCCGCCGCCTTCCCGGCACTTTCCGTGCCTTTCCCCCCCTCTCCCTACGCGGGCCTGGCTCCGCGCCGCACAGGCCGGCCGGCGGCCCCGTCCGCTCCACTCTACCGCGCTTTTGCGAGGACCCAGTGCCCACTCCCGGGTGCGCGGGCCCAGTGCGCCTGCGCCGCGCGCCGAGGCGGGTGCCTCTGCCTGGTCACGCGGGGGACGCGCCGCAGCAGCTGATTGGCTGCGGCGGCGGCGCGAAGGTCGCGCGCGCGCGGTAAGGGGCGGGGGTGTGGGGGGGTGTGGGTGCCGGCGTTGCCATGGGAACGGGCCCGCGGGGGCGGCGGTGGCGCCGCCGGGGCCGCAGCCCTGGGGACAGCGCCGGGCAGGCCGGGCCTGAGGGATCCCTGCCGCCCTGTCACGGTGGTGCGGGCTTCAGGGCCTCGTAGCACGGCCCGAGTGCTGGCTGTTGCTGGGTGAAGCTGTCGCGGCTCTCTCGTCATCTCCTGCCTTCTGCTGCTCTCTCTTGTTTTGGTGGCTAAGTTCATCTCTCGGGTGAACTCTGATTCAGTGGGAAACAAATTGAGCTTTTTTTATGGCTAGGCTCTTCTGTCAGATGGAACTGTCAATCCAGTCGATTTTTCCTATATATGGTTCACGGATGTGGGAATGTATGGTGGTGTAGGAAGGAAAACAGGACTGCCCTTTCAACAGCTACCTGCCCTTGGATTATGCAGGTGCTGGTGACATGCTTTGCTTTGAATTTCAGAAACTTGAACCGAGTTAGCAGAATTGGCTCAGCTGATGGATGGGCTGGCCCAGAATTCATGGGCCATGTTCCGCAGGAAGGTGGCCCCTCTGCAAGTGGCGTGTTGGTAACACACTGTTTATTTTGCTCTGTAGCTCAGTGATGCGTGTGTGCTGGCTCGTGGGCAAAGAGGAATGCACTCAGCGAGTGAAACTGCCGCACTTGGAGGCTGTGGTGATTGGGCGTGGCCCAGAGACTGGGATAACGGATAAGAAGTGCTCGCGGCAGCAAGGTAACCTGATGTAGCTCAAATCCTGCTTTCCACCTGCAGCAGCAGCTGAGCTCGCCTCGTTCCTCTACGTGGTCTGCCATGCTGCCTGTTCCTGGAGTCATCAATCCTTTTTAATAAGCACTTACAGAGATCTCTGGGGCCTAACAATCAGAAACACCCAATGACAGGATGTCCACCTCCATAAACTAAAGCTTTGAATCTTCATGTGAATTCCCAGGCCCACAGTTGTGATTCACTGCCTGCATCCTTGGCTCATGAGCAGCACTTCTCCCTAGTATTCCACCAACTGATTTTTAGCATTGCTTGTTATTTTATACATAAAATAACATGATCTTGGATAATATATAAAAGTATCTGTCACCTATACAATACTGCACATCTTCCCTGCTCTATCTTCCGTGCCTCTGGACACAGTCTTGCTCTATGCCTTATTGTCCCAGAGGACTGGTAAGAATGTCAAGAATATGTATGAGACATGCACAGAATGCACCTTTGTTCTGAAGTAATTCTACCCTGGGCTCAGTGTGTGGGTTGGCTCTGTTTTACCTGTGGTCCTGGAAAGAAGAGACAAGGCAGAAATATTCTTGGCACACATTCACAAAAACCAGCTCCAGAAAGAAACAGCTCTTCAAAAAGAGGAGTGTTTTCTGCAGTGTGACGTTCAGCAGAGTTCTTTTTATTTGCATGGTTTTGTGACACTTTGTTCTTTGTTTTCCAGTTCAGTTAAAAGCAGACTGTAACAAGGGGTATGTCACAGTTAAACAGGTATGTTTTTATGTATGGATCTGCAGTATTTCTGGTACTTACTGGGACAGTTGTACTTAACTCCACAGATGCTCCAAATGATGATTCTGATCACTGAAACTTTCTTATCACCAAGGGAGGTTACAGCAAGTGGCCCTCAGAAGTGAACTGTGTTCTTTGTGTACCTCAGTGAAAGGCTGCACTATTCTTTCCAGATACATTCCAGTCTAAGACAGCCAGGCTAGCAGCATCAGCTGTTGTGAGTCCTCAGTCAGTTCTGTTGGGCGCTGCATTTGAGAGACTCTGGACTTCTTCTACTAAACTTATCTTTCTCCTGAGCCTTGGACTTCATAAGCTGAGGCAGCCCTTTGTTTAAGGTTGAATTTCCTGTGTTAATGGTACTACTCAGTAGCAGAAGATTTTTGTAGGTGAGCTGATAGAGCCAGAGATGTGGTTACTTGTGGGAAGAGATGGGATGTCAGACAGCACTGCAGGAATGCTCATGTCACCAGGTGGATGGAGGCAGGCCTACTCCCTCACACTTACGAGACCCAGTATCTCTGAGGTAACATGAAGAGAAAGGTGTCTGGTGCTGAGGATTGTGAGTGTGTGCCCACAGCACCAGCCTGCGTGGACAATGCAGCAAACAACATGTTCTACCTGCCGAGGGGGAACGTCTTTTCTCAAAATTCTTCCACAGCCCACTAAGCACAGGCACCCCAGGGGTGTCTGATCACTCTGGCAGAGATATCTAGGACAGTTTTTCTCAGAAATCTACCCTATGATTTGAATATTGTGTTACTGGAATCTCAAAACTGGGAATACTTTCTGGTGATGGGTGCTGGCATGTTTTCTCTGCCTGTTGAAGAGTTGCTCCCCAGGTGTGTGGCACAAGGTTCCAGTGGTCAGTTGTTTGATACTTTATTTGCTGATGGGAAGCATCCTTGACCTGAGTGAAACTGCAGAGCTGTAGAGTAATGAGATCCTGGCTGGAATCAGGTGTGAGCTTCATTGCAGTGAATAGCAAGTGAGAGGTATAGTACTGCCCTGTGAAGCACACAGGTGTGGCAGTGACAAAGATAATGAAAACTCTCTGACTGAGTTCATCAGTCGCAGGAGAGAGCTGATTTCCCAAAGCCTGTTTTGTGCATAAACGTTAACCAAAAGCATTGTGCTGAAGACTCCTAATTTTTGTAGGGTCACCCACATGATGATGTGGAATCCATCTATCAAGCAATCACTGTAGGTTGCCTACATCACAACATGATTGCACTGAAATAATTTGCTACAGTTACTCCTCAGAAACAGTTGCTGCTGTTACTAGTTGTTTAATAGGCTGTTAATTTGTGAGGGAAGTGCAGCACAAGTGACACTGTGACTGTGTAACTGCTGCATGCCCAGGCTCCCTGTGGCACCAGGCCCAGAGGTTGTGTGCTGACAGCTGTGACTGCAAGACTGGGGCACAAACAGATGCCCACAGTACTTTACTGCCTGGTCTGCTGAAGTGGGTTGATGTGGCAGGGTGGGCGGTGAATACAAAATGCATTTCCTTTCCAGGATAATGGTATTCCAGGAGAACTGAGCAGAAGTTGGCGATTACACTTAAAACATAATTTTCCACTATTTTTCCCTTTTTCTGTCTACCAAGATAGGGGTCAACCCAACTAGTGTTGATCTTGTGAATATTGGCAAGGATGAAGTGGTGAAAATGAAGCCAGGCCAAGTTCTGCATATTGTAAATAACCTTTACCCCTACATGGTGCAATTTGCCGAAGAGTCTGGGAAAACTGTTCCAAAAGCAGATAAGATTCCACATGAAGAGAATGATGATATAGAGCTTGTGCCCAGAAAAACCATGAAGCTGGAGGTGGTGGATACACAAGGCAGTTCTACAAATCCAAAGCTAAGCAATACCAGTGTATCTGCACAGGAAGGAACTTCGAGCAAAAAGGCAAGTGTGTTGGTATTAATACTTGTGCTGTTTCTCCTGGGGTTGTCTCCTCCTTGAGAGGAGACCTGGTCTTTTGCTTTTGTGGATTCTGCTGGTGGCAGGCATCTCAGGTGAACACAGATCCTCAAAGTATACAGAGCATGAGAGGTGTTATGTGCTCCTGACATCAGCCAGACCCTGTGAAAGTTACTTGGGACCCATTCTAACCTGACTTGAGGGTTAGGTGTGTGTGAGGATGAGCAAATGAGGATTTAATCTCTGGTTTCAGCTGCAGTTGCTGCTAGAAGGACAGTCCACGTGAGCTCCATTTAACTGCAGTCACCCAAGGTCCTGGCTCTTGAGTGGTTATCTAAAAGCAAGTGCACAGAGAACAGAACAACCTGAGCCTTTTCTCTTTAAAATCTCTTTATTTGTAATTGCATGAGGCTTTTTGTCTCCTCCTGCTTTGTTCATTCCATATGGCAGAACCATGTTTACATTAGTGAATGTTAGCAGCCAGAATCTTTGAAAGGGACTTTTTAGCCCTGTGACATGGACCAAATAAAAGACCTTAATGCATTTGGAACTAGTGCAGTGCTGGAGGAGAAGGCACAGAAATGAAACCCCTTAAGACAAAATTTTATTCTCAGGTTGCTGTGAGTTAACCACTTACTTAATTTGTGGACTTGGGCTAGTTATATTAGCTAGTTATATTGTGCTTGGGCCAGATTTGTGGTGGAATAAGCAGGGAGATGACAGCTCACACTATTTCCCTGCCAGCACTATAATAATTGAACGTCTTCCTTTCTAAGAATATTATGAATATCATTACTACTTTCAACAGTTAAAACATGTTTTGAGAAAGGTGCACTCAAGACACACCTTCTATTAGGTGTTCAGTAGCAAAGTTAAGAAATAGCTTGTGTTGGCTTGATCTTCCTGTGCTTTTATTCTTTTCTCTACAAGCCACTGCACAATATAAAAAAATCAATATATCTAATGATAAGGCCACACACTGCAACTACTTTTTTCTGTGCAGAGCAGTATGGGATAAGACAGTTGATGGAGATCTTTGTTCTTTCTTTGGTTTTTGTGATCCCTGAAGCAGAGGGCCTTGTGCCATGACAAGTGCAAGCAAATTATTAAATTTAAACGCATTTATAGGCTCCCTGCTGTTGAATTTCCAATGTTTGGAAGATTGAACTTTCCATCTTCACAGTATCTTGTTAAAAGTTTTCAAAAGTAGCTTTTTGGGGGCAGTTGGAGCAGGTATGTTGGCATTTTATAGAAGAGAAATAATTGACCTCTCATTCAGCTGTTACTGTACTGCTGTATACAAATGAATATTCTTAGCTGAATCCTTTGAAGTATATAATTGGACGCTTCATTATCTTACAATTTATTTTCCCATTCTGTGGTATAGGAACATTTAGGACACTGGAGTCAGGGTCTGAAGAGCTCCATGCAAGATCCAAAAATGCAGGTGAGAGGTGTATACTTTTACTTTACAGTAGATCCTGTCTAGTAAAGCTAAATGAGCTTTCTTTCTTCCTTCTGCAATTTGCTTTAACAGTCTGGTTAATCAGTGGAGTCCTGTGTAAGGGCTGAAATGTACTTGCATCTCTCTCTATAGTAACATTAACTTGGGAGTCGCTACTGATTTTGCAGGTTCTCATTGTGTTAAATTATCTTTGAGCTCTCTGTACTCTGAGATTTGGCCAACAGATTTCAAAAAGTTTGATTGAAGAGCCAGTGAGCCATGCAGTTACTTTGTTTCCTCAGGGAAACAAACTAAAATGGGGTTATCATTTGAAGCTGAGCAAGCCACAAAGGTTCCCATTCTCCAGCAGTCAATGCTGTCTTGTTTCTTAGTGCAGTTTCCTGGTTTCCAGCAAATTTTTAGCTTCTTAACTTTCACATCTTTATGTCAGCTGACATGATCTGACTCCTGGCCTCACTGGGCCCCTTCAGGTCGTGATCACTGTTAGGCTGAAGATAATTTAGAGTCATAGTGTCAGGATCATTGAATCCAACTCTTAGCCCTCACAGGACATCCCCAAAAATCACACCATGTACCTGAAAATGCTTCTTGAACTCTGACAGACCTGGTGCCATGACCACTTCCCTGGGTAGCCTATTCCAGTGCTCAGCCACCCTCTGGGTGAAGAACCTTTTCCTGATATCCAGCCTACACCTTCCCTGGCTCAGCTTCAGGCCATTCCCTCAAGTTCTGTCACTGATCATGAGAGTGAAGAGATCAGTGCCTGCTGCTTCTTGTCCCCTCACAAGGAAGTTGTAACTGCAGTGAGGTCTCCCCCCAGTCTCCTCCAGGCTGAACAGACCAAGAGACGTCAGCTGCTCCTCATATGGCTTCCTTTCAAGACCCTGCTCTAGCAGTGAGGTCTCCCCCCAGTCTCCTCCAGGCTGAACAGACCAAGAGACCTCAGCTGCTCCTTATATGGCTTCCTTTCAAGACCCTTCTCTGTCTTCTTAGCCCTCCTTTGGACATTTTCTAAGAGCTTTTTGTCTTCTATTGTGTGACCCCAAAGTGCCCCTAACCCTGGAGGTGAGGCTGCCCCAGAGCAGAGCAGGACAATCCCCTCCCCTGCCTGGCTGTGATGCTGTGCCTGACTGATGCCCCCAGGACATGGGTGACACTCCTGGCTGCCAGGGCACTGCTGGCTCCTGTTCAACTGGTCACTGACCAGGACCCCCAGCTCCCATTCCATGGAGCTGTTCTCCAGTCTCTTGCTCCCCAGTCTCTCTGTATGTCCAGGGCTGCCGTGTCCAAGGAGTAGAATCCAGCACTTTACCTTGTTAAACTTCTGCCCAGCTCTCTGATTTGTCCAGGTCTCTCTGCAGGGCCTTCCTGCCTTCAAGGGAGTTGACAGTTCTCCCAATTTAGTGTCATTAGCAAACTTCCTTTCTATTCCTTCCAGTCCTGTGTCCAGGTAATTTATTAAGCTGTTGAAGAGCACAGGGGTAAGGATGGAGCCCTGTGGAACCCCACCAGTGACAGTCACCAGTCTGATGTCACTCATTCACTGTAACTCTTTATGCCTGACCTGTGAGCCAGTTCCTCACTTAGCTGATAGCTAAACAGAAGGCTCCTATTTCTTGACTGATTTTTCTCCTAATTCAAGTGTGAAGTGTTGAACTGCATAGATTTACAGGAGAACTGGATGCCTATTGTCCTAGAATTGCCAGCACTTTCAGTTGAGTCTATCTATAAGGAATGATAAAACCATGGAAATTCTTCCGTACTTTTTAAACATGAAGCTTAATTTTTATCCCTGAAGCAGAAATCTACGTACTTATCAAAACAGGGTTTTTTTGACCCAAAATGTAAGCAGGTTTGAAAACCATTCTTTTAGTGTTACACACAAATAACTGTTTATGAGTGAAGGTTAGCTTTATTAGTTGCAGTTTCAATCTGAATACACAAACAACAGAACTCCTATATTTTCTTTTTAATCAAATATTAAATGGCAATATTTCTTTTTTCTGAAAAGATTTGAAGGTGATCCTGTTCCTTCTGGTGGCAGGAGCAGACACTACTAGTATGTATGTACAAAATATCTTGCTGCTGAAAGAATCTGTCCTATGATTTGTGTACTGATGGAACTCTAATCTTCTTTTCTGTAGAGTAAGACTGATGTGTATATAAACATACAAGAGTAATTAGAAAAGGTGACAAAGACATCATCCCTCTCTCATCAACTGGTGCACTGCTAAGAGACCAGAGACACAGTACACAGTTTCTGTGTCACAACCTGATGGCTTTTTATTGCTGGGCTCTCCCCACTGTTGTACACAAGCTTCCCAACCATTTCTCTTCCTCAGCTGTACTGAATTGTTGCAGAAGGCAAAACAAAATGAAAACAGGAAGAAGAACATGATAGACAGGAATCTGTTCTCCTTCTTGTGAGTGATCTTACAAAGCAGCAAACTGGGTAGGACAAACTGAAATAGCCCAGATTTGAATATTTTAATCTTTGTAGTGCTGGTGGAGGTCTGCAGCACACTGCTGGTAGCACATCTGAGATGTGTGCTTCACTCTGGATATCTGCAACCTAGTGCATTCCGACATATTCCGTATTGAGCACAGTGGTTTTGTTTGTGACTGCAGAGCTTGAACATAGCCTGATGGAAGTAGAGTTCTCTAGGCCTCACTGGTATCTCAGTCCAGGTGATTTTCAAGAACTCATATAGCTCTGTACTTATGGTTAACTTACTGTAAGTTAGATTAGAAAGCTTTTGAGCTTGAACATAGCCTGATGGAAGTAGAGTTCTCTAGGCCTCACTGGTGTCTCAGTCCAGGTGATTTTCAAGAAACTCATACAGCTCTGTACTTATGAGTACTACTTAACTAACTGTAAGTTAAAGTATATGAAGCCTTTTATAATAAAGTATATGAAAAAGGATACTGGAACACCTCTCCATAGCTGCCTGGTATATGTTATGGAAGAGGGTACTGGAGCAGCTTCATTCCAGCAGAAGTTTTCATTGGATAGCATCTCTCCACTAAATGTAGTGCTTATAGGAATAGTATATATAACTTTCAATCAGAAAGTAATCTAGTTGTTTCGTTTTTTGCAAGGTTTACAAAGATGAAAAGACTGTAGTCATCAAGGATAAATATCCCAAAGCACGTTACCACTGGCTTATCTTACCATGGGACCCTATTTCAAGTCTGAAATCAGTCACCAGGGACCACCTTGAACTCCTGGAACATATGCATGCTGTTGGGCAAAAAATGATCGAACAGTGCCCTGCCAGAGAGAGCCTGGAGTTCCGACTGGGTTACCATGCTATCCCCAGTATGAGGTAAGACCTAGAGGAGTCATGTGGACTTGCTAATGTTCTTCCAGTTACACAGATTTGGGGCTAAATCCGTGAGGAGATTTGGCATTGCTAAAGGAAAGGCAATCCTCCTCAACACTAGAGACAGCTTGGTGTGCAGTCCTCTGCCCCACACTGCTGTATAGATCCTGATGCACGGGCATCTTGGGCACACGGGGAGATGCCTCTTGGGCTTCTCTAGCCGAGGTTGGTGCCTGGGTCTGTGGGATGCCTGTGGTCCAGCCCCAGTGACAGGAGTACTGCTGCCATTGCCAGGGCATCCTGTTCCCAGGGCACCAGCATGAGATTAGAGACGGACTCCTAGATCTGTCAAGTACTGCCTAATACCGAGCAAGGATTTGAGTCTTTTGTCCAAGTCCAGACATGAAAGTGTCCAAGAGTTTCTTGATACTGCAGTCAGTTGTTCTCCAGTTCTTGAAGGAAGCTTTTGAGCTTTGACTGATCAAGTCCCATTCAGTTACTCTACAAATTATAAAACTTTGGTTTATTATTAAACCTTTATTAAACCTGTGGTTTGCTAACATTATGGTCTCCGTCTTTTTGGAAACTAGCAGGAATATAGACTGCAGAGAGGGACCAATGGAATATGCAGACTAGTGACCCTGACTGTTTATAAGTGAAATTCTTGGCAAGAGACAGTGCTTCCACAAGAAACTGTTTCCTCTGTCACAGGGTCAGGACTGACCCACAAGGCCAGCACCCTGCTGAATCATGTTTGCAACAGACACAACTGCAAAACAACTTTGAGCATTAACCTTCTTCTCTCATATCTACATTATATTTTTTTTCAGTCAGCTACATTTGCATGTAATCAGCCAGGATTTTGATTCTCCAGCCCTGAAAACCAAAAAGCACTGGAATTCTTTTACTACGGACTACTTCTTAAACTCTCAAGGTAATGATTAGAGAAAGTATTTCCTAACATATAATCCCACTTGCAGGTTATGGCTTTGGGCTTTTCTAAATGCGCAAGTCATTGCAGTAAAAGAAAGGTTTTATTTAATTTAATATATTGGGGAGTAGCACTGAGTAAAAGTCAACAAATTTTGCATCTGGTTTAAATTAGAATGCAGCAATGACACACTGTGCATGCAAATAATGCACAGAGATTTGCAGTGTCATGTGTCAGTGATGCTACATGGTCTCAATACCTATGGTCTTTTTTATTTTTATCCCCAGATGTGATAGAGATGGTAAGAAGCAAGGGAAAAGTGATGGTGAAAGACCATACCTCTGAACTTCTCAAACTTCCCCTCAGATGCCATCGCTGTAAACAACAGCTGTCCACAATCCCACAGTTAAAGGAACATCTTCGGAAACACTGGCCAAAATGATTTTGCAAAAAATCATCTTTCAGTCTGTCTTCAAATGTCAAGACAACACAAGACCACAAAATGTTAATGGAAATGTATGCTGCTGTTTCCAGGCCACTTTTCCGCACATTGCATGACAAATGTAATGTGGGGAAAAGTCGCCTGGAAACAGCAGCATACTAATTTAGTAATAGCATCAACAAAAACTCAAGCCCTTTTCTTCCTTCCTACTAAAAATATAAATAAAGTGACTTCTGAAATTGGACCTTTTTGGTTGCAGCTTTATTGTGGTACTGCCACACTAATCTGTAAGTGAACTGAAGTCTGGGAGAAGTGCTTTGTTGGGATGAAATTATTTATTTTAATTCAGAAGCTGAACTGAGCCCAGATCTGGGTTTCTACTGTGAAAGGAAACAATGATTTAGAGATCTTTCTCTTGATGTTTTCTGCCTACCACTGAAGTTCCTCCTGCGTGATGTTGCAGGCACTGGTGTGACTGACAGAACGTACTGTCAGTGGAGAGGAAAGAGCAGCAGCTGATCACTCCCACTTTGCTGTGCCACTGACAGGCCTGACAGTTCAGTGCTGCTGAACTGCCGCTCAGCTAGGGGACAGCCACTGCTCAGGCTCTAAGTGGAGCAAAAATCTCTTTTGGGTACAAGGATGTATTTAAACATTTTTTATGTAATACATTTGTAATACACAGTGACCAGCTTTACTGCTTCCCAGAGTAATAAAACTCTCAAGGTGTGCAGCTGCCTGTCTGCATATGCTGAGGATGGTGCAGAAGTTCTGTGGTTTAATCCCACACTGTTTCTCCAATCAGGATTTTAGTGAGCCTCTAATAATTTGATTGTTGTCAAGATGTGAACTTCCAGAAGCAGCAGGACAATACTAATAAAAATCTCTTGAGTCCAGATCTGGTTTGTACAGTTCAGCTTCATCCTAAGCCCAGCTTTGAGTTAAGATGCTCTCTGGGTGAAATGGCTTTCAGTAAAAGAGTGCACAGAGCTTCTGTTATACAAGCAAAATGCTGCTCCCAACAGTAACATTCTCTAGGAAGAGGGTGTTCTCTTCTTACATTCCCCGATGCAGCAGCATGTTGCTGTACCCACTCAAATGGGGCAAATAATAATATGATGTTGCTGGAAAATAATAAAGATGTTTCTGTCATAAAGTTGTCCCAAAAAATGTGTTCTTTCAACCTGGTATGCAAGAAACCAATCCACACAGAGGGTCACGTTTATTTCATGCTTGTGCAGAGATGAGTGCTGGGTGGTGAATCCACAGAGCCAGCACACCCAGTTCCAGCCAAGCGGTATAACTAAGATATTTTCAAAATATCTTAAGTCTGCACCCACCTGAAGTCTACCTGCCTACTCAATAGCTTGCCTGGTTCAATTTAAAGGTACAATGCATTTCAAATTTATTGTTCATGTTTCAGTAGGTAGGATTCTTCATTTGGAGGTGGGTAGTCTAAGCTTTAGAGATATGGCTTTCACATTATAATGAGTTAAGTTCATCTGAAGGATGTTTTTTTAGCTGATTTAATTAATTTCAGTAAAACCAGAATGTTGCCATATGGAATGCTGCCAAATGCAGGTGTCGAGTATCATGTGCACGATTTCTGTTTGTGTTCTCTACTTGTTTCAAAACTATTCTGCAAGACCTTGCCATTTCCCACTTTTCTGGGTCTTTAAAGTATTTATTGTTCTCCTATGACTCACTGTGCAAAATCTCTTTTTAAACCATCTTTCACCAGAATGGGGTACAGTAAGGTGAACAGTTGGCCATGGCCTAATTTAAAACACTAGTCACAGGTCAGCTATTGCTGACATCAGTAATATGCCTTAAATGACAACATTAAGCTTAGAGTAAGGAAAAATGACAAAAGCACTATGACAAAAATTCAGTCTGTAAATCCATTCTTGTCACAAACTAGGGCTTCAGCTGGCTCAAGGTAAAGTGATAATGCTTTGCAACTGGAACTGATTTGGACCAAGGCCAGTTGCAAATGCTCAAGAGCTGTGGTCTTCATCATAGCAGACACAGGCCAGAAAGGGAAGCCATGCTTCCTCACAGTGAAATGTGCTGCTTATGGCCCATGGGCCATCACATCTGCTTTAAGTACCTCTCAGAGCTGGTCAGAGTGAAGCATAAAGCCCTGCAATCCATCTGTTTGGAAGCAGTGTGCAGCTGAGTCACAGTTGCCACACACTCAAATGCGGAGCTCAGATTCAGAGGGACAAGCCTATGTACGATGTTGTAAATCAGTGACATCACCAGGAGAACCACTGTCACCAGGGCTGACCCAGGGGGAGGGATGGCAACACTGTGTGAGGTCACCACTGTATGGGAAAGGTCTGCAGGAATGGCAGCAGTGGACACAAACTCTCTGAAGCCAAAAAAGGACAGCCACCTGTAGGGGTAGCCTCAAGGCCACGAAGGAAACTAAGGCAGAAAACATAGATATTGTCACAAATTACTTTGTGCGTGGCTTTGCAGGGGAATCACAGCCTTCCTCCAATCTTTCCTCTACAGCTGGTAAGTGCATACAGGAGACTGAAAGCAACCAATACAACACCTTGGAAGAGAGCCACAGAATAGCAGCATAACCTTAACACTAATCAGCAGTGATGATAAAGCATCTCACTTCCCTACCTGGCTGTAATTACATCTCTTCTGGAGTTGTATTATCTTCCATGATACTGTTACAGGAATGGGGCCTAAAGCCAAGGAAGATGTGGTAAAGGATTTTCCATGAGAATGTCATGAGGTATGTGAAGGGATTAACATGGGCTGATGGGGTGACAGGTTATCAGGTGGAGGGCCAGATGACCCCTGCCCCAGCAGCCATCCAGGTGGAAGAGAATGGTACGAGAGTTCTATTCCACCCTTAGGAAAACCCCACTGCCTTTGTTCTCTTTGTAACTCTTAATACTCATTTACAAAGAAAGTTCTCTCCCCTTCCTCTCTGTTTATAATTGCAATTATAGAATATGAGACTATTGTCTCACCTCTGCTTCTCCCAAACATACTAAATTTATTCTTTGAAAGCCTCCAAGGCAGAGGATGAGAACATAACCACCTTGCAGAAAAGTCAAGGGTCTTACTCATCCCTCCCCCAGAGCAAGGGTGCCTCTTTGGAAAGATCTGTGAGTCTGACTACACTGGAGTATACCTGAGAAGACTTGTACAAAGCACTCCACACTTGTATCTGGCAGATGTGTTTATCACTGGCAATCTAACAAGAACTACAGTCTACTGCTCCAATGAACCACGCTGTTTGTGGATCTGTTCATGAAACTTCCTACTGAACTTGATGGATTTATTTTCCTTTTGTGTTTAATGAAGCTAATCAGCAGACAGGTGAAAAATATCTAACAAGAGAAGCAGGCTTCCATATAGCCATATTTGTTCAGAGGTTGAAACATTTTTAAAGTTAACTCCATATTTTTGCATTAATGGTTTACTTCCTGGTAACTCTGTTTGTAGGAGCCCCCACAGAATTCCTAAGAGTAAATTCAAAGTGTCTGTAATGACAGTAAGTAAAGCTGAGTATATTTCAAGATTACACACATCACTAATAAAGCAAAACAACATGGCAGCAGAAATCAAGGGAAAGCTGAGACTCCTAGCTGCTGCTGAGAAAAAACTAAGGTTCAGCAACTGCAGAAGTAGTAAGCAGGATCTCCCCCGCTGAGGCTCACCCACACTGCTGTTAGTGCTGCTCCCCGCTCAACTGCTCCCTACTCCAAGTTCACTCAGGAGAGAAAGAGCTAGGGGAAGACAGTAAGAATTTGATAAATGATTTAGAAGACTGGTCTTTCACTTGGATAGCAGACTTAAAGGAGTTTTGCCTTGGTGGGAGAACAAGAAAGCACACCTAACACAAAAGGATCTTAGGCTTTCCACCATCACCATGATGGAAAAAGAAATAGTACACATACTTAGGCACAAGCAGGAATCCTCAGTAAACCAGTGGGAATTTTATCTTTTCTTGTGTTCTCTTTCTAGACAATAGATTCGGTTGTGCAAGACCTCAGCATTTCTTGGCATCAGATTTAGGAATGTCAGGAATTACTGGTGTCATATTTCAGTTGCAGGGCCAGAGTGCTCTGCAGAGGAGCACAGACTCCCTCAGCAACCCTTTCTCCAGATCTGGTAGATGGCTTCTGTATTTCACCATGGACTATGCTCGGCTACCATTTTGAAACCCAGATTTGGTGAAACAGTCTTGTCCCATAAAATCTTTCATGTGTTTTGCCATCTCAAAAGGCTTTACTCTTGGAGAATGTCTTTCCAGTGTACTCACAGTATTTGACAACAGTCTTAAGTCACCCCCACACATCTCAGAACAGACCACGCAACTCAGAACAGCTGGAAACAAGATGTGCTCCAATGCTTCATGCAGAAAAAAGACTTTCACCACTCCCCTCCAGCAAGCCCAAGGCAGCACAACACAGCTGGTGCAAGACTAAATGGCCACCCCAATCTGATGGAGTTCTTGCCACACAAAAACAGCGACCTGCAGCACTGCACATGCTGTGCAGTCAGAACACAGTGCACTGCTGTGCCATTAAACAACTCCAACAAACAGTAAGCACCTTGTTTGTAAGGTGTTTTTCTGCAGGCCCCAATGGAAATGGCCTGAACACTGCAGCTGCCAGGCCAAAATTAACCAAGAAGGGGATGCTACCACTGAGAGGGTTTCCAGCCTCGTCTCCTTCCTCTGCTCTCAGAACTACTGCTGTCACATCCTGAATCAGACGACAGAAGTGTTCTGGGGTCCTAATTCTCAGTACAAAATCTAATTCTCAGTACAAGATCAGTTTCCAGATGACACAATTCTGCAATAGTGCACAGCATTATCAGGATACAGCTGCTTAGTCAGTGCCATAAAGCACTCCATCTTCTTTGATCTCAGATAATTAGGGTAGTATTATCCAGCATAGTGGGACACCAACACCTCTGCCCTGCTTTTATTCGTGTTTTCCTCTGTCCAAGACCTCCCTGCTGTGAACAGGCCCAATTTCAATACAACAATGGCTGTTGGCACTGCAGGATTCACTCTCATGTAACAAAGCAATGATGAAAATCTGGTATCAGCAACACTCAGCTTCAGCAGAGAGACACAACATTTGTTTGGCAACTAGAATAATTTGCTATTGGTACAGTCTTACAGCAGGTTCTCTAAAGCAGGCTGAAGTGCTTAAAAAGTGGCCCGTTATCATGGCAGGTTATCAGCTCTGGAAGGGAGGGATGGCAGTGAAGATAACCCATCCATAACTGGTGGAATTGCTTCATTCAGAAGGGGGGAACAGTAGGAGCTGTCAGAGCTGCATAACCTGCCTCATAAACCATCTCTGCAGTGGACATGAGTGGCTGTGCCCATAAGTGTGACACCATAGGGGTTGCAGTCACAGCTGCACCAGGTGGAGGGACCCTTCACTTGCACAGCCCTAAGAACAGTGTATCAGAAACACCAGAACAGCGATGGCTTCTGCAAAGATACAATGAAATTATACGAAAAGTTAAAAGAGTTCAGAGTCCACAGGGATTCCTTGGCTTCTGGTTATTGGAAAAGATGCAACTTCCACTGTAGATTTTTATTGAATTTTGGTGGAGTCAGTACTTCTGGATCTGAAAGACAAACGGACTAAGTGTCAGAACAGGGGGTAACAGCATAGAGTTTCCTCAAGCTGTCAACTACTTTGTTCACTTTTCTTACATCAAAGGATGCTGAGAAATCTCGACCATTATCCATTATCTCCCTGTAGTGACTGATCACCACCCTGCGCACAGGAGAGTGTCCTCAGAAGACCTGCTTTCACCAGGAAACGTCTGGGCACACCAAGTCCCCTCTCAACCGTTAAGTGTTACTGCTCAGAACGAGGAGGCACAGGCACAAAGGCACAACCATTGGTGACACAAAGCAGAACTCCATTCATTCACCTGTCACTGGCCCATCATGCACCAGTGAGTTGGCTCCTTCTGGAGTGAGTAAGAGACAAGGCTTTTTCTGAAGCCAGCCCTGGCAAGTGGCAATAAACAGGTTGCATCTATAGATTCAATAGAGAATCTCCTCAGGCAATTTCAGGACTAGCAGGGAAAGAGGATGTAGGACTAGGGGAAAGATGGATGACTGAGGAGTTGGGACCACCCTTTGCTAG